ATTAATTTTCTAAAATTTTTAGGGGCCCTGCAGGCTGGATAGAATGGCCTGGTGGGCTGGAACTGGCCCGTGGGCTGTATTTTGCCTGCCCCTGACCTAGGGGTTACAGTGGACAAGAAGCTGAATATGAGCCAACAGTGTACCCTTTTTGCCAAGAAGGCTAATGGTGTACTGGGCTGCACTAGTAGAAGTGTTACCAGTAGATTGAGGGAAGTGATTCTTCCCCTCTATTTGGCACTGATGAGGCCACATCTGGAGTATTGTGTCCATATTTGGTCTCCTCACTACAGAAAAGATGAAGACAGATTGGAGAGAGTCCAGCAGAGGGGAGGTGAAAATGAGTAGATGACTGGGAAACATGACTGATGAGAAGCTGAGGGAACTGGGCTTATTTAGTCTGGAGAAGTGAAGACTGAGGGGGTATTTAATAACAGCCTTCAACTACCGTAAGGTTATATAGAGGATGGTGCTGAACTGTTCTTAGTGGTGGCAGATGACAGAACAAGGAGCAATGGTCTCAAGTTGCAGCAAGGGAAGTTTAGGTTAAACATTAGGAAAAACTTTCGTACTAGGAAAGTCATAAAGCACTGGAACAGGCTATCCAGAGAGGCTGTGGAATCTCCATCTGTAGAGGCTTTGAAGAGCCACAGAGGTTTTAAAATCCTTAGAGGTTTTAAAGAGGTAGACAAAGCTTTAACTGGGATAATGTAGGTGGAGATGATCCTGCTTTGAGTAAGGGGTTGGACTAGATGACCTCCTGTGGTCTCTTTCAACCCTTATTTTCTGTGATTCTATGCCAGAAGTATTCTAAAAGTAAAACTCACTTCTGCAATCTCCCTCTGTTACAAAATACTGATGGATTACAAGACCTAGAATAAATTTTATTAATTGCTTTCCCCACTCTGCAAATATAAACTATAAACAGTTATGCTAGCATGCATATTTTGGAAGTCTTGATGCATCCATGTATTACACCAAATCCCCAAATGATTAGTTTTTACACCTGCCTCTTACCACTCGTGGGGATTACATGGCATAGAAAATTTCTTTGTATCAATACACTACTTTTAAGGATGGCATGATGTTATGTGCCTTCAGCTTAAATGGTGAAAGTAGGCTCTGCTGGGAAAATCTTGGGTAGCTAGAATAGCTCTGATATTTAAAATTTGCAAACACTGGGATGCAATATCAGAGGGCCGAGGTTATCTGCTGACAGGTTGTTAAGAAGTTTGGAGCCTGCTACTCAGAAACTGGGATCTCTGAAGCTGGAGCAGGTGGGCAAGTGTGAAACTAAGTAGCAAATATGGACTAGGGATTGAGTGTTGCTGGGTTCCTGGAACTGCTGCCTTAGGAGAATAGATTTTGGGGTGATTGAATCAATGGGGACTCAGGGGGATAGCTTGGAGAGCTGATCTCTGGGATACAGGTAGATATGGGTTCAGGAGTGCTCCAGCATTAAAGGGATGGTCAAAGTTACAATGGTGGGGTAGGTAGACAGGAGGGTGCTTTCTGGGATTACATCAGGGGACTGCATGGTAAATGTGTGGCTATGATCTCTATGGATGGTAGAGGACTGGGATGACTGTGAGTGGGCCACACTGTCTCCTCTGCTTGGGTCTAGCTAGGGGAGAGGAGTCTGTGCTCAAGGTGGGGTACAGGGGTTTCTGATGGTCTGAGGTCAGGCTGAGAGCTGGGAGCAGTAATCCAACACAGGTCAGGTATTCCTGCAACTCATATGATACAGAACATAGACAGGCAACCTAGTTTCCTCAAACTAGGTCCAGAGCAGCCTCCAGTGGCCATCATGGGACTGCATCTTCCACTCATCCCTCAGCCAGGTACCTGATATTTAAGCCAAGATGTGGACAAGTGAGAGAGATGCATGGCTCATGAACGTGTCTGTTTCAAATTTAGTCACTTTTATGTATTATTTTGTAGTATTTATCTATCTTGTTATATTTTCTGCTGCCTCAGGTGACTTATACCTCTGCTTTTTAGGCTTCTAGAGATAACTTATTCTTGTTTGTTTTAGCTAGCAAGTACCTTGTCAATACATGAAAGATTCTTTTATTTCTGCTTCAAGCCAGTTCTCTCTTCTTTCAGCTTTAACAAAATGGAAATCTGTCTAGAACACAGTATCCCCCCAGCAGTTGCGTTCATTTTGTTATTCCTGGTAACCTTAAGAGTAATAGCTATGCCACCAAATTAATCTCAGCAACAGAACACAAGAATTTCATGACCTTCAAAGGTATCTAAATGGGTTTTGATTTCAATGATCCTCTATGAAACTTCTGTTATGATTGCAATTTATCATTTTATGACGTGAAAGGTATATGAGGTTCTCTACTGGCAAGTACAGAGTCAAAGAGCCCTGTGACTTGGTGAACTATGCTCTGTGCAGGTACTGAGGGGAGGGGAAACAAAAGTGTCTAGACACGTTGTTATACTCCTGATTACTGGGGCTGGATCATCAGAGCACAACAGGACTGCTATATCTTCTCTATGTTGCTTATGCCGTAAAGTTGGCTCTAAAGATAAGTTGTTGGCTTGGCTGAACTGGGAATACACTACCTGGGGATTCTGCTTCCACTAAAAATCCTCAGCTGGCCAATTGGACCAGAGCAGGACAAATCACACTTGATCTGGTTCAAGCTATCTGCCTCAGTGGGTTTTGAAAACTAACACAAAGTCTTAACAGCAAGATAGTAGATTTTAGTGAAAGTGAACAGTGCACTGATATAGTAGAGGAGGAGGTGAATCTTCACCCTTCCCTAAATAAGTTTTCTATAAGGATTACATGACATGATTGCCTGCAATAGCAGGGGATTAGATTCAGTGTCCCAGAAAGTCTCTTCTAGTCCTACCTTTATATGTCATTTGTCTCTCATAATTCTTTGTTTTCATTTCTAACTAGGAATGAAGAAGTATCTCGCAATGGTGGATTGGTCAGTTGGTTTGAATGAGGAGAAAACGGCTACATAAATACTATATATTTTTTGCATCTCACAGGGCCCCAAATATAACAGGCACTTTTTTTTAGAATGAAGAATGTAGGAAGTAAAAAACATTTTTTCAGTGCCATGCCTGAGACTCCAGCTCATTTACCCTCAGCCAGCTGACTGGCTCATCCAGCTTACTCTTCAGCTAAAAACTATTGCTATATAGCAGTGGCTATGAGACAGTTAATGCTAGACACTTTTGCTGCTTGTTGGGCCAGAAAGAAGTGGAAGCTATTTTGGCAGCCAGTACAGCACAGCATCTCCATGCTTCTATTCCAGCAAAGCAATATCGGTTTCTCTGCTTAACACATGAGCCCCAGTTTTGGAGGGCTGATTTTTGTGGAAAAGATGTGTATGGAATATGAATAAATATAGCATTACTGGGATCTTTTTTAAAATCTCTTTTCTGCTTCCTTCCCTTTTCCAGTTTCACGTTTCACAACTGTTCTAGTGAATAAGTTTACAGTCAGCTGTGTTTGATAAAGATTAGATTTTAAGGCAATGCAGTAGAATGTAGGTTTGCAAAAAGTGAATTTATAATGTGAAGTCATGAATATTTATTTGCCTCAGAAGGCTGATTCTTGGGATATAGACTCATCCTCACAGGGAACACAAATATACTGTAGTGTTTGTGCTGCTCGCTGCTGTTTCCCTTGCTGCGACTCCATTGGTTCCAGCAGAGTAACAAGAGTGTGAAACTGTTTTAGCTCCATAATGAACCATGTCTTGTGTGTCCAATAAAAAGCAGCTTGGATTCTAACTGTAACCAACTGTTCACAAAAGAGCTGTGGACCAAAAATTTTTCCAAAAGCTTATTATGGAGAGGAGTTTTGGACAACAAACATATCTGATAATGTTGCAAACTACTTTTGGATAAATCAGTGACAAAAAAGAGGAGGAATCTGGTGTACATATGTGAACAGAAAGATATATATTTGCATGGAAAACTGTCCAGTAAATGTATATCTGTTTGTCTTCCTGTGAGTTTCTAATTACTTTAGCTGTAGTCATTTATTTTTTCTCATTGACTGGCAAGAATGCAGTGTTCCCAAAAACATCAATAATTTTCATAAGGAGGGTAAAGCTTAGCATTTTTATTGATGGGGCCAAATTCTCAGTTGCTTTACTCACTGTACAGTTGTTTGCTGCAGTACAATGTAGGTGTTAAACCTTATCCTGTCAAAATGGCAGCATGTTCACTGGTGTTGATGAGGACAACAAAGTGCAAAGCAGTCCCCATGTGGATTATGAACTACTTTCTTCAGAAAGAGCAACATTTATCTCAGATGGGGATGGCAGGGAGTTTGGCTTTCAGAGTCTGTAGGTTGCTGGAAAAGCCCCAGGCCAGCCTCCCTCCCAACTCTGCTGGACAGCCAACCCAGCGTGGCACTGTTAAGGTGAAGGGGGCAGGGAAAAGGCTTAATTCCTCCTTCAGACTCTTCCCTGCAGCTGGGATGTGGCAACACCAGGGGCCACCACTACAGCCCCCTTCCCACTGCTCCCTGGCAGACAGGCAGACCTCAGCTGCAGTGGGGGAAGAGGGGAAGGAGGGAAGAATTAACCCCCTCCCTGCTCACTTTGCCTGGCTGGGGCCATGCCCAGCGGTGTCTCCACTAGGATCGGTCCCTGCTCCAGCTAGAGAGCAGAGGAAAGGGGCAAGCCTTGCTGTGAAGCAGAGAGCCCCACACAGCCCAGAGAGCATGCCGGGATGCTGGGGTTGTCTTGTTTATCTTCAACCAGCAACAGGTCTGGGACAGACGTGGCATAAACTGGTTTGAGCCAAATCTGTTAAGTCTGATACAACATTCAACCAAGTTTCTCTCAAACCAGTTTCAACCATTTTGAAAGCGGTTTATGTGCCCTGAATGTCTGTTCTGTTACAGGTTTAAACCAGTTTCTGATCATTTAAACCAGTTTATGTGTAATACCTGTCCCTAGCCCAAGTGTCTTATCTCTGCAATGTTATGATATCTTCTGTATCTGCTTCCCCTTCACACACAGACCATGTGGGCACCATACAAACCAGGTAATACTGCATAGACTGAAAACAAACCCTTAGAAGAAGGGCCTGTGCACTGCTGTATTGTTTTCAGCTTCACAGTAAGTGATGTTCTTTTTAAAGTGCCAGCTCCTAGGGTCATGTGATTACATAGGAAATCCACTAAAATAAAAAGTACTTTTATAATTCTCTTTGCTGCAGAGAAGAGCTTAAATTAGTGATGTTTGAAGTCTTCATAATAGGTTGCAGGATTTAGCCATTGCACATACCTTGTGCTGACCCTTCTGCGCAGTTGGTCTGAGTGAAATTTCTTACACTGTTGTTGCACAATCACATTTATTCTGAAAAGCAATGAATGGCTTAAGGCAGAGTTGCATTCCTCTGCTTTGTTTACCCCTCGAGAAAATCAATGATATCATGTTGCTAGCACATGCTGTGTCAGTCCTTGGCATTTTGTTTACTTTTCTTTAAGATGAGCTCCTCTGCAGCTCAGCAGCAATCCATCCAGACTCAGTAACATCTGTAGCCCTGTGACCCTGTAATTTTAACTTGTTTTATACCAAAATAAAATAAAATACAGCTTTTTATATAAATCAGGACTGTAAGCCAACTTCCAGCATTTCCATGGGAGTAGTTATCTTACCCAGGCAAGCAGTGGAGTAAGATTCTACTGTAATCAGACAAGTCAAAATTACTCTGAGCTCAGTCAGGGCCTGCCTGGTGTGGAGTTCAGTGTCTGATCTCCAGGTGCTCCCCACTGTGAGCATGTTCACTATCTGAGTGTGAAAAAGAATAGGAGATGAACACAAAGGGATCTAGGATTTTTACAAGTGGGGTGGGGTGCAGATAGTGGGGTGTACCATCCCACATAAAACAAATATTTTTCTCCAGTTTAAAAGAAAATATAAACTTTACTAATATTGCAGGGCTCTGGGCTTTATTACTCAGTTTAAGATCAAAGCAAAAACAAATATAACTTTATTAGAATGTGCATTATGGATGGAAAAAACCAAACTAGGCAAAAATAGTTAAAAGATGTTGTTTCATTAGTCTTGTAGTCATTAGAATTAAATGCACATCTCTTTTTTTTTTCAGATTGATTAATCAAAGTCTCAACAGTGCATCCAATGTTTCACTGGCCGCATCTACACAAGACTCTGACTGTGCAGTTGTTACTGCGCAGTCATTTAGTACTTGCATACACAAGTACTAAATGACTGCGCAGTAACCAGGCTTACTGCAGAGTAGCATTGCCAAACAGCTTTTAGGTTCATGCTACGCAATGCTTCGTGTTACGTGATGCGTAGACGTGGTCACTAAAATTTATTTCCACACATGAGTTAATGCTTTAACTAGAGAGAGTTAAAAACAGTTTGTAGGACTGTGAAATAGGCGCTACTTTACCCCAACCGGCTAACAGACAGAAAAATAGCAAAAAAAAGGATAGCTTGATTAGTGGAACCTCAAGGTGATGAAAAAGGAGAGAGGGTTGTTAACACCTGTGGAATGAAGAGTTTAGAAGGAATTATAATGAGCCATGAAGTTAACTGATTTCCTTACTTGAGCCTGAATAGAAATGATGTTGCCACTGTCAGTCACTTGGCTTTAAACTTTGGGTGGACCAGGAATCAATCAAAAGGAGATGTGAATGCACCACTGGGCCATGTCTAAATTTGCCCTGGGAGATGATTATCACCTTTCCCACCTACCTCTTCATACCAGCTGGTACAGTGCAAATGTGAGAATAAACTTCTACAACTTATTTCTTTGCTGTACAGCAAGAAGGGAGTAGGGAAGACCTTCTGAATGGCCTCTCAGAGGCACTGACTGTCTTTGGCCTGCTGTGGGTGTCCTGAGACTATACATCCCTTCTGCACTGTACCCAAAAGCAGAACCCAGGCTATTACTGCCATACTTATGCAGTCAGACCATCTTCATGCACATTTAATGCCCCCTATCTTGAGTTTGCTTTGAGGTAAAACCACGAAGGTGTGTTTTCAGGTGAGTGATAACATTTTGCAGTAAAACATTTTCTAGCAGTAGCTAACTGTGGACTCAGAGTGATTAAAACATTTGATAGGTAATGAATCCAAATAAAAGTATGCATCAGAGAAAGATTATTAACAAAGATAAGACTGGTAAAAATAATTTGTAGACACTGATTCATTTGAAGGTACAAGGAATAAATTGGAAGGGAATTTTTCCAGCTCTCTTTGCCAGCACTGAAGTGCAGGCCTTTTAATCAGTGCATAGGAAAGCAGTGGCAGAGAAATGCATATATTATAGAGCAGAGCATGATATATCATTTAATCTCTATAAAACTATAAGTTTGGCACAGAAGGTAAAAAACAGTATTTAATAGCATCACAATTTTTTTCCAGAAAGTTAAGCTGAGCCTTGTCAGCATAAAGATTGTTATCCCATTTTTTGCTTGACAGGCAAGCAGTAGCCTAAGTATGGCTGGGCAAGTGCAGAACCAGCCCTAGCTGTTGATTTACAGGGGTTACAAAAATGACATTTTCTATTGCCACCAATGCCCTGGCCAGTACTATCACACAAGGCACAGAAATGGCTCGTTCTGCCTCTGCCTAAAAAGATTTTGATATTGTTGAATCAGGTTGTTATGCAAAATATAACAAAACTATGTTTTCTTGAGAAGTAAACATGAGGGTAAACATGTCAGGTAACCACAGGAAAGGGTAGGAGGCAAATTAAAAACTGCATAGTGGAGGACACAGCAGGAAGAATGAAGATAGTTATTGCCATCATACTGTGACTTGTTCTCTGAAGCTCTCCCCTTTAATTTCAGTGAGTTCCACTTGGAGCATAAAGTCAGACTACAGCCTCTCATATCCAGGAGAGAAGACAATGGTCCTCCCTTCAATCTGTATTCTGGTTATGATAAATAAATATAGTAAGTATCTCAAATGTATCTATTTTCATTTTTTTAATTTAAAGTATTTTGTCATGTGTTTTGATACAATGTTACAGTAATTGAATTTATTGTTCATTATACTCAACACAGCTTTTCTGACACACAGTTAGGTAGGCCTGATCAGTAAACAAATACTGAAGCCAGATCTAATTGGCTGGCTCGGGCCAGTACTCTTCAACTTCTTCATAAATGATCTGGATTTGGGCATCACGTGTGGACTGGCAAAGTTCGTGGATGACACTAAACTATGAGGGAAGGGAGTTGCACTGGAGGATAGGCTGGGGATACAGGCTGACCTGGACAGTCTCGCAAGGTGGGCGGACCAAAACCTGATGGCATTTAATGCAGAGAAGTGCAGGGTGCTCCACCTTGGGAGGAAGAACCAGCATCACACTTACAGGTTCAGCAGTGCTACACTCTAGTACCATGACAGAAAGAGACTTGGGGGTCTTGATTGACCACAAAATGAACATGAGCCCCCAGTGCAATGCTGTGGCCGCAAAGCAAACCAAACTCTGGCATGCATCCACCGATGCATCTCAAGCAAAACCAGGGACATCATCCTCCCACTCTACTCAGCCTTAGTGAGGCCACAGCTAGAGCACTGTGTCCAGTTTTGGACCTCCCACTTCAGGAGGGATGTGGATAAGCTTGAGAGAGCCCAAAGGAGAGCCACCTGCATGATCAAAGGCCAAGAGAGCAAACATTATGAGGAGGGGCTGAGGGACATGGGCAGTGATGTAGGGGGTGCACGGGGGTGCACATGAACCCCCTGAGAGCTCTTGTGCACCCCCTGATAGCAGCGTTCCCTGCTTAGGCAATGGGCAGGGGGGCCAGGTGAGAGTGCTGTTGCCTCCCCAGAGAGTGCCGGCCAGGAGAGTGGGGATGACAGGAGAAGTGATCCCCATGGTCCCCCTGTGGCTGATGGTGCCAACCGGGGGGGCAGGTTCCTCTGCAGCTGATTGCACCGGTCTGGAAGTGCCCCCCACCCCCAGGTCTGCATGATTGGCCACTCCCCGGTTGTTGACTGGCTGCTTGGGGGGCAAGCGCTCCCCTGACTCAGGAGGCACCATTCACCCATGGACATGGGACTCTTCATCCTGGAGCAGGCTTATGGGGGACTTAATGGCAGCTTATAAGTATATAAGGGGGGGTGCACCAGGATCTGGGAGAACGGTTGTTCATCAGGGCTGTCCAAGGGATAACTAGGTCTAACTGCCACAAACAGAGGAGCTTGACCAGGAATTCTTGGGTCAGCTCACCGAGGTAGCAAAAGCTAAGGATGTGGTAGTCATGGGGGACCTGAACTTCCCAGACATCTGCTGCGAAGAGCAGTCGGCTAGGTCCGGGCGCTCACGTAGGTTCTTGGAGAGAGTCCAGGACCTTCATCTAATGCAGAAGGTGCACAGCCCCACCAGGGGGGATGCCTTGTTGGACTTGGTGTTGGCCACGGGCGACAACCTGGTGAGGGGGCTGCGGGTGCTTGACCCCCTGAGCGACAGTGACCACTGCCTGCTAGAATTCACCATTCAGCGCAAGGTGGCAAAGGCAAGCAGTCAGGTGGTGGCCCTAGATTTTAGGAGGGCGAACTTCAACGAGCTAAGGAGGATAGTTGGAGAAGCGCTGAAGACTCAGAGGGGAGGGGAGCCGGGTGTCCAAGGGGAGTGGTCGCTCCTTAAGGAGACGATCCTCCAAGCCCAGAGGAAGGTAATCC